GGTTTAGTGTTTAGGGGTTTGGGGTTGAGGGCTTAGGTAGGGCCCTACTAATTTGGGGACCCTGGAAGGGGACGCGAATTAACAGAGCTACCAATACCAGAAACTTTTCCAGACCATGAGCCCCAAACCGGTATAAGCGGTTTAGGGTTTAGGGTTTAGGGCTTTTAGGGTTTAGGGTTCAGGGTGTAGGGTTTAGGGCTTAGGGGTAAGGTTCGAGATTTAAGAAACTCCCTGGAGGAATCGAAGCTTGAGTCGACATAATATGGACTTGCGACACTTCGAGGGCTTCCGGATGTCAACCCATCCATAATCATATGGGAGTTTCCGAAAGTAAGGGGTACCTTATTTTGGGGTCCTTAAAATAAGGATCCTACTATTTAAGGTGCTATATTAGGGTCCCCTATTTTCGGAAACCCCCCTGTTGACAATAAGAATAGTAACAACAATACAAATAGCACTAATAGTTGTAATAATCGCACCATTAGAACCAATTTCGACAGGAGACGCACGCGTACTCGCACTTTAATAGCAGATGGACGTTTGTTCATCGGCCGGCCCTCTGGATGTACATGGGTAGTTCTCTAAACTAGGGTCCCTTTTGGGGTCCTTCTTATAAGAGTGCCGTATTATATTGAGGATCTACAGCAAGGTAGATTGCTGGAGAGTGTGGGGTTTCGCAATATTCCGGATGCTTTCTTTCTGTGTGCTGAGATAATATAGGAGCCTAAATCATTACCAACACTATTTTTTGGGTTCCATATTATAATTTTAGTGTAATGGGCCCCAAAACGCTGTTCTAATGATTACGGCCCCCATGTTACAGGATTCAAGTTCTGCCGTTCCATGACCATCTTCCAGTTGTGGCCGTGGAGCTTTCCGGCTTCTCCTAAGCTTCCGTGGGGCAACTGTGAATGTGAAGGGTTTAGGGTTTAGGGTTTAGGGTTGAGGGTTTAGGTGAAGGTTTTAGGGCTTAAGAGTGTTTATAGGGAAGGCCACAAAGGCAGGCGAGTGGCCTGCTGCTTTCAAGGATTCGGATCTGCTCCGCTACAGAACAGAAGTCAGTTGTGGCAGGCTTTAGGTTTAGGGTTCCTAAACCCCGAACCCCTAAACCAGCAACTCTTGTAAGAGCAACCGTCTTGACATATATGTAGGATCCACAACCTTCAAGCCCCAACACCCCCCAAAAAGCCCAAGCCGCAGACCCTGCCCAGTTTATGACTGCCCCAAGTGGGCTGCAAGACCGCTCACATGTCGGTGATGACCCAGCATCCCGCGTGCCAAGGCAAGTCAAAGTCCACCTCGTTTCCATCAGCCACACGTGGGAGTTTCCGAAAATAAGGGACCCTAATATAGTACCCTAAATAATAGGATCCTTATTATAAGGACCCCCCCCAAAAATAAGGTACCCTAATTTTTGGAA